GGTTATTGCTCCTCTCATAGAAAAAAATGGGAAGTTGGACACAAAACAAATTGGCATTTTTCATTAAATGTACAGTTATATATTTCATGTTACTTCCTTGGATCGGTTGTGTGCGCAAGTAACAACAACAGTAGTCGATCACCTAATTAGTTAATTGTAGTCGTCTAAAGCAGAAGTCTAAGAGTATGCGATTTATTATTTTAGCAAGTTTGGAATAAAATGAAAATGCAAATTATTAGAAGGACAGATTTATATACTCCATACTAAAACACAAATTAAAAAAGAATAGGAGTGAACTGTTTCTTGAATACTAAGGCTTTGTACATTACATAGTATCATCTCAGCCTACTTCATTATAAGAAGCAAGAATGTCTGCCTCATCTTCCATTTTAGAAGGATCATCTTCATAAAAGGTTTCTCTGATTTTCTTAAATATCTCCAAGTCAACGGACTATCTGATCCTACGTTATGAGTTACTCCTACTTCTCTTTTCAAATCCAGCAACTCCGCGACTCTATTCAATTCGCGACTCTATTCAAACCGCCATGCATATGACGCTTCCTCATTATGTATTTAACGTCATAAAACTTTCCGAACCAGATTTTCAATTCAACGAGAAAATATTTCAATGTAGCAGGTAACTCACTTGCTGATAATATTTTCATCAAATACCCAAGATCATAGACTCCTTGAAATACATTTTTCATTAAGTGTACAGTTATATATTTCATGTTTTTTTTCTTGGATCGGTTTTGGTCGATCACCTAATTAGTTAATTGTAGTCGTCTAACATGAACCCTATAGGCGACGCAATAGTGGATGCATCTGGGAGATCAACTTGTCATATTACTTAGCCGCCCTATGGCAAGTGATTTACTTGTGTCTTGGAATGTTAAGGATTTACTTGTGTCTTGGAATGTTAAGGATTGTATGGTAGAAAGCTTTGGTTTTTGTTTCATTGATTTTACAATTAAATGTTCTGTTTTTATACTATTCATTTAGGGGCTAATATGTAAATAATAATTGTCAAACAAGTCCCTACATATTTACAAATAAATCGCTTTTATGGAATATTCTAGAACATCCCATATAAATTTATGATATTTTAAGATGTACCATGAGATATCTTCACATTTCGCTATTACATTTCACTAAGGACTAAACTTCTTCCTATGTAAGCTCTCCACATGGACGGACAACTTTGTATCACATGGACACATTTGATTTAAATTTGATTTTTTTTGCACATGTTCTCAAATATTGGTCATATAGATAAATTAACTATATATATATATATATATATATATATATATATATATATATATATATATATATATATATATATATATATATATATATATATATATATATATATATATATATATATATATATATATATATATATATATATATATATATATATATATATATATATATATATATATATATATATATATATATATATATATATATATATATATATATATATATATATATATATATATATATATATATATATATATATATATATATATATATATATATATATATATATATATATATATATATATATATATATATATATATATATATATATATATATATATATATATATATATATATATATTATATTATATATATATATATATATATATATATATATATATATATTGCCTCTATTAATTATATGTATTAATCTCAATAAATCATAAAACCTCATGCGTTTTCAATTGATGTTGATGTGGATAATTAAAGTAGGTGACATCTATGTGATAGGCACTTGAAAACACGCGTAAAAGCTTTTTCAATATTTGATCAGGAGTATAAAATATATAGTACACATTTTATTATATATTGAAGTGTTTAGTTAAAACATGTCAAGGTTTGAGTGTCTAAATACTCTCTTTGTCTCAATATGTATGACCCAATTCGAATTTCGAGAGTTAATTAATTTATTTTGATCATGAATTCGAATATTAAAACTTTAAGTTTTAAAAAAATATATATAATTTACATATTGGAAAACTTTGTAAAAAGACTATAAACCACAATAATTGATAATTTAAGATATTTGAAAGACAAATAAAAAAAATTATGATCCAAGAAAGATTTGTTTAAATCTCAAAATGATTAGGTAAAACTTATTGGCAAGTATAAGAGATTTTCTATTAAGCCATAATAATAATGATATTTGGAAACAATATATATTTTGATTGAATTGAAGTTGAAAATTAATAATCATTTATATTTTAATTTTTAGAAATAATAACTATTTTGACTTATTTTTTAGTGAGCATGATAACAAAAATGAGCCTAGGGAATATCATTTTTCTTTTAAGTTGATGATCAAAAATATATACTTGGAGTTGGACATAGTAGTAATTTTTGAGTTATAAAATTCGTGGAAATAATAATCTAAATTTATTTTTGATTATTTATCCCTTTTTATTTGTATCCGTTTATATGATTTACATTTCTTTTTAGTCAGTAAAAAAAGTGACCTTTTTCTTTATTTAATACTCCCCTTCGTCCATATTTACTTGTCGAATATTTCCTAATTTGATGTCCGTCTTTACTTGTCATTTTTGACAATTCAAGAAGGGACAATTTTTTTCTTCCTATTACCCTCAATTTATTAACATTAAGTCAATGTCTTTGAAAAAAAAATAATGCGTAAATATGTTTAAAAGACTCCATCAAATTATCATACATAAAAGGGAAAATGCATAAATATCCCCAGCCTATGCCCAAAATCCCTGAGACACACATAACCATTACTAAGGTCCTATTACCCCCAAACTTATTTTATATATAATTTTCTACCCAAACGAGAATGAATGAAATGATTTATGGTATTCGATTGAAGATTTTTTCTGGGGTTGCACATGGCTGATCTATGAAAAAAATGAAAATGAAAATGAAGTGGCTATAAAATCGGTTTAAGAGCACACCAAAACATGTGTGGGTGGTTCGAAAAGCATTCCAAGTAAGTTGTTCTCATTATCATCATTCAACTTTGCTCTGAGTTATAATTATTAGATTTTGTGTTGTAATTAAGAATATTTGTCTTGAAAGTAACTTTATTGGTTCCAAGTCAATTTGTATTTGGTATTTACTTTGGGTGATTTTGTTGAATAGGAACTTCTGTAGATAATTGTCAACTGAAAAGATCGAGAACAAAAAAATGCTTGAAACCTGCATTGCTTTTTGTGTACATATTTTGTCATTTTTGAATAACAACTTGGAATTTCAGTTTTATTTAAATAAGTTAGAAGTTATAGAAACTAGAATAAATAGTGGAAGATCTCAAAAAGGTGTAACAGAAACTTGATTCTTCATGAATATAGAAAATGAACAATATCAATATGCTTGTAGATTTTTTCTATTATTCTTAATTTCTAGCCCCATGTATTTTAGGACAAGGTTGTCCCAGAATGTGATTTGATTTTAAGTATCATTAGCATCAATTTATTTATTCTAATCAACTTCTTCAAGATGACTAATATACTTGAAGTCAATTGAATAATGGAAAGTAATTCCGGCTTGAGCGCAGGCTTCAAATTAAAACCATGAAGAGAAAGAGAATAGTTAAGCAACCATCTCTATAAATTTATGCACAGAATGGACATGAAAATTATAGGTCAAAAAGACCACATATATATCACATAAATATGGTCACTTATCACCTTTCTGGATCCACTATATAATATATTAGCTCAATGCTTTTCTTCATTTTTGTATGCACCTTATCTACAGTCAAATTTAACTGTGTGTAACAACTAAGTACTTCTTTTGATGGCATAGCATCCTAAAGTACTCGTGTATATTTACCTCTTACACTAGCAGAAATGAAGTTCTCAGCTTTAATCTGTTATTGTCTTAAGTTATTTTTTCTAAATATAGTTATTTCTTAAAGTTTATTATATTGAGAGTTACTTATTATACTTTGAAAAATGAAGTTCAAGTTCTTAGCTTTCACCAATTATTTATTTGGAGTTCACATTGTGACTGCTCACTTCATTGAGAAATATGAAGAGGAGATATCTCAAGTAGTTACTGCGGGGATCGTAGTAAGGCATTAAACAATGTCACTTTGATTTACATGACACACTTCGATTAGCGAAGTTTGGCTGATTCACTACTAAATTGGGTATCGTAGCTCCAATTCATTTGAAATGATGAATTAAGACCTTCTTGAAGATGCATTACATGCATATTACATATATGCTCATCTCTTTCATATATTACTCTAATTCACATATTGAAAAAACTCTTATTCACAATCATAATATTTGGATATGATTGTACTAGACAATATATTTTTCTTAGTTAATCACTTTCCATGTAGATATATGCTCATCTCAATAATGACGTACATAGATGTCCTTTGTTATGGTATCTATTTTTAACATATAATAAATCATGACCTTCTGGTAATGTTGTGCCAAGTGTGAAGGTTATTGCAGTGCTATATGGATTTAGAATGTTTGATTGATAAAAAAGTTTCAATTATATTTGTAGTGGGATTATTTGTTTTAAGTTTTAAATAGGTGTATTTCAATTTTGATGACATGCACATAAGAGATGGTCATCCTGAGCCAAAAAAAAGAGAGTTATTATCATCATCTCTTCTGTTTGCACCTTATTGATACCTTGTATGTAGCCATAACATGATACAAGTCTGCTATGGAATGTGAGTTGTAACAATGTTTGAGCTCTTAATTTGTTTCAAGTATATAGGTATGATTTTCAATTTTACTTCGCCGATGATTAGTTGTGCAATTGTATAGTCTGTACTAGAGTAACAACTTAATATATCTTAGTGAGCACGGACCATGCCTATCTAGTTATATTCTAAAGCACACTTGTTTTGAGACCAAAAAAAAAGACAAACTATCGGAAATACAAACAACACACTGAGACTAAAGAAGAAAGAGAAATGGCATAGAACTGAAAATGTGCACAACATAACATAGCTAACTGACGCTAATGAAGCAGAAACATGAAGATATACTCAATACTATAATTGGAAATACACATATTATCCAATTACGAATCTGTGGATGAATACTGTGGGATCGATGAATACTGGGCCAGGAACCTCAATTATCTCCGGGATATCTGGGTTTGCGTACAAGTAGTTTCTCAACTCCTGTTTTTGTTCCATACATGTAATGTTTTGTATTTTGACTTGCTTTAACTTATGCCTCCAACATTTCCAAGGTTGAGATGTACAACAAGGCTTCTCATCTTCATCTAATGCATCTTCATATATAAACTGTAAAACCAGAAAAGTCAATAAGTATTGACAATACACAAACGCATGAATATAAAAACTGTCTTCATAAAGAATCAGTCATGAAAACAAATATCAGAAACACCAGTCTCTTTTCTAGTAGAGTTATTGCTGCAAATGTAGCATGCACGGCTTGTTAAGAAGTGCAATTTTCAATACAATCTTATGACCCTGATTTCGTTGTCTTGTTTGTTAACAACATATTTTTTTGAGTTAACCAGCTACATATAACTTCAAATTTATCCACTAGCCGCAGAGACAAAGCACAATCCAATAATTATTAACCCGAAATTTTCACATATATTCTCGCAATTTTTTTAAAATAAACAGCTTTTGGGGGGACGCGAAAGAATTTCAGAATCTCAGTATCCTTATACTAGACTTAATTGACTTGTTAGTTCAAGTAACTGCAGACTTAATTACTTATACTGCTAAAGAAAGAAAGAAATAGGCATGTTAAAAGGGAAAAGAATTGCAAGAAACCTTGCATCTAAAAAAACGTTTTTTTACAAAGTCAGTACCTTTGAAAGATAAATGTCTTACCATTAGGATCTTTAAGTCAGGTTTGAAATAAGATAGGGTGTCCAGTTGAGGAGAAATCCAAAGCATACTATCAAGAATGTCGACAATCGAACAGTTTATCAATGGACTTCGAATATTTACATGAACACGATTAGTACCGTAAAGGGGAGGAAGCAAGCTTCCTCTCATGTCTTTTGGTATAACTAGTGCCTGTATCAGCAAAAGTAAACAACTTGTGAGAAATCCATAATATATAACAACAACTAAAAGAATATGTGGGAATTAAAAAGATTATTACCTTGTCACTTTTGCATGTTAATTCAACAACCATGGACTGATTGAAGTTACCAAGAAATTTTGTGACATCACTGTCAGTGGTTCCTGAGACAAAGCAAATTTTTGCTTCCAATGAAGCTGAAGCTGAAGCTTTCAGTTGCAGGGTTGGCAATGAATGACAATTGTACGAAAACCTTATCAAATTAGGAGTGTCTAATTCAACAGCGATTAGGTTAGGACATTGATGTACCGTCAGCTGTTTGAGCAGGAAACTTGCAATCTTTAGAGTCTTCAATGTGTGGCAAAAAAATAACTCACACTTGTCTAGATTTCCAAGGCAAGAAAGAATTTTTTGGGTTATCGGCACACGCTGGAGGTACAGAGTCTTAAGGGCTTTAGAAGCAGTTATTTCAACTGCCTTTAGGTAATCACAATTGCCGTAGATGGTAAGTTGTTCAAGATTAGTTGAACTAATATCAACGAATTGGACTTGATGATAAGAATATTCCAATTTCAATTTTTTCAGTTTAGGTAAATTTTCACCAACTTGCAAACTGTTAAATCCATGACAGCCCACCAAATACAAAACCACTAAATTAGAACAGGTTGTGCATATAGCTCGAAGAAAGTTGTCGTCCAAAATTACACTGTCAAGATAAAACTCTCGCAGAGATGGCAAATTTATACTTTTACAAGGCAATTCAATAATGTTAAATCCAATCAGCCTCAGCACATTTAGGGCTTTTGCATTAAAGATCATCTCAGGCAATTTGTAAAGATGAGATTTAATTGATAGATGTAGTTCTTTGATATTACAAACTACAAGTGTATCAATCCAACAATTGTATACCTCATGAGATCCAATCGTTAATGGTAGCCAACACTTGTGTACGGCAATCTTCAGCTTTCGACGATTTTCTAGGGTTTGATGCACAACATCCACCAGCTTTGGTTTGTATTTTGATGGCGTAAAGAAAAAATCACCATCAAATTTCAAATAGGAGATTGAATTGCAAACCTTGTTCCAAGTCTTGGACAACATACTTAATTGTGCAACATTTTTGTAAACAAGAAAAGACAAGATGTACTCTAAAATTGGCTCTGGTAATTCGGAAATTCGATCCATTGAAGACAACAATGGAGGAAACAGAGAGCCACCGGAAAAGGGTTCGCAAGTATTAAGGAAGATGACAATTGGTGAAACAGAACCCTTACATTTATAGAACCCGGAAAAGGATTCGGAGGGAACAACAACAATATTATTATTTTTTTATTTCCCCCGATTTAATTTAATTTAATGAAAATTACTAAAATATTGTGTTTAAATTTTTTATTTATAACATTAATTTTTAGTTACGAATATGATCATATATTAAATACTGCATGATTTTCCGAGCTATTTTTTTAGTTAGTGTATGGGACCCATAATTTATTGTGTTTACCTTTTGGATTTTCAATTATAATTACGTTTCTTTATTAAAGATATTTTTCCTCTTTCTTATTCCATTACAAGAATGGAAAATCATTAGTAGGTTGTTTGGTCATGCGATATCATATAATGATATGAAATTGTGAGATTAAATTAGCGTTTGAACATGCGATTTCATTTTGATTCCATCTCATGATCATGAAGTGGAATTTGATATTCTCAAAAAATCATAATTTGAGATTTTTTTTAAATACAAAAATTGATCTACAAGTTTATATTTTAGTTAAAACAACCTCATATTTATATCTACTAACCATTTATTTCATATGTAAATAAAATTTATAATCACATCATTACTTTTTAAAATTTATTATTCATCACTTTTTAAAATTTATTATTCTCACCAACATAAATTTGATGAATATAAATAAGAATGGAGGGAATAATACTTTTTATTTTTTCATAATAAAAAAAAAATTCTCTTTCGGCTACATATGAAAATGCTTAAAGCAACTCAATATGAAAAAAGGACAAAATTGGTGATGGATGTTTGATAATCACTACTTCCAATATGTTTGATTTTAGCACGAAATTAATGCAATGAAAATGTGTAATTACACACAAGTGAAACAAAGCATGAACCATTATGATATTGACACACAAGTGAAAATTGTCATAGCTTGGTGCAGTGTTACATAATTATTTGCAAGAATATCAAAGGAACTGAAATATTTATGGTCTATGAGGATGAAAATATAGTTGCGGATGGTATTGACCAGGAAGTGGCTCAAAGAAGCAATGTTGATTTGTCTTCTCAGTCATATAATCAAGATATGCAAGTTCAACGTGAGGAGATTGTTTGTACTATGTGGGAGGATTATATCAAAAAACTAGTACACTACAATTTATGTTCAATTTTTTTTTATTGAATTAAAAATTTGATAAACTAAAGTTAGATGAAACAATTACTTAAGTAGAGAACAAATAGCTTTGTAATAATTTATTATGCGATTTTAATTTTTTTGTTTATTTGGTAAGATTGAATAAACAATTGAGGCTATTTTAATAGTTTTACAACTTATTAGATTCTTAAGTTTATGAGAAATATACAACACAAAAATTACATATCGCATGTCCAAACAAAACTTCAATTTCATCTCATGATTTCATATTATGATATCATATCATAATTCCATATCATGATTTCATATCGCATGGTCAAACTGACCCTTAATTTGATTTTATCAATTTCATTGTTAGTTTCTAGATAACGGGTTGGTTTTGTTTTCTTTCTTGATTATTTTTTTCAAAATCATCTCTTATAAGAGAAGAAAGAAAATTGAGTGTTTCCTATAAATTATACTCCTTAAAAGTTTTCATCTTTTCTCATTAAAAATTTGGGTTCATCTTCAAACTCTTTTTTTTAAAAAAAAAACCTATAATTTGCGATAAAATTATGTGTTTCCTTTGATTTGTACAATTATAAATAGAACATTAACAACGCTGGTGTGTGTATGAGATCAAATTTCGAATTGAATACATTCACTTTATCTTCGATGAGTAAATATGGAAGAGAAAATCTAACAATCGGTTATGAAAAGTCTATTTGTGTTACCTAATTTGTTTCAAAGTAAGGGTAAGGAGAAAATTTTATATGTATACAATTTGATAAATTTGATGATCTTTTATCTTTGGGCTTCATTGTACTTAATTTTAGTCCTTAAAATTCTAAAAACTAATACTTCTCAAAATGTGGTGTTCTTCATTTCAGTATTGGAACTGAAAGGTGATATTGATAAAATGTTGGTGTTGTTGTGTTATAAGATTATTAATTGGATAAAGATATATTTAATAAAATACTTAACCTAAGGTATATTATATAGTATAAATTATGATTTGAAGTTAGTGTTCAATCTACCAATTTAGCAAGAGTATTACACCATATTTTAATTCAATAAAATACCTTAATATATACCATTTTATACAGAATCTATTGAAATTTTTACAATTTTTTTATATCCAAAAGTTAATTTTATATCATAATCAAACTAACGTTTGACTATAATATTTTTTAGTTTCAACACTAGGGATAAGGCATAAGTACCCCTAGACTATGACCGAAATTCCAGAGACACACCTAAACCACCCAAGTTGGTTGTGTTTGTACACACTCGCCCGCCACGCGTGTAAATATTATTTTTTTAATTAAAAAAAATATTTTTTAATTATTTTTTAAAAAATATTCTTGTTTTCTTTATCTTGTATTTAAATTGAGTTAATACACATTTTTTACCTTGTATCGAAACTTTTTTTTTTACCTACATTCATTGTTTTTTCTCTTTGATTTTCTTTGTCTTTCGTTTTGATTTGATTTCAAATTTAATTCCAAATGTCTTGTATTTAAATAAGTTAATTTTGAACGGATATCAAAATAAGTGAAGAAAATCAAATAAAACATAAAAAAATTAAAACGCTAAAATTAAAGGACACTTTTAAATTTTTTTTTTTTTTTTTAAATACGGATAATTTTTTAAAAATAATTAAAAGTTAAAAGATAATAAATTAATTTTTAAAAAGTTAAAGGCGAAAAGAAATTAAAATAAATATTTTACAAAGAAAGAAATAAAAATAATTATATATATAAGTTTTAATAACAATAAATATGTGTACTAACTAATTATAAAGTTACCAATCAAAAGATGACATGTGTCCAATTTGTGCACTCATCACTTGCCTTCAAAAGAGTGTGCACACTCTTTATGCCATGTCAACGTTTGTGGTGTATTTATTCCATTTTAAATTAGTTTAGGGTAATAGAATTCTAGTTAAGTTTAGTGTGTCTCTGAGATTTTGGACATAGTCTAGGGGGTACTTGTGTCTTATCCCTCAACACTATAAGGAACCAATTTGACAATAATACACATTTTTTAGTTGCTATTTTTTTGAATTAGTGTGCTAATATTGCGGAATTCATAATTTACCGTATTTACTTTTGGGATTCTCAATAACAATTATAATTGGATATGATGCTTTTACTTAAAGATCCTTTTTTGAGGATGTGTTTCTTTCTCTCTTTTTTTGGTTGATTTTTGAATTTTAGTGTTTAATTTTTGGGAGAGAATTTTTTGTCTAATTAATAGGAATCATACTCTTAAACACATTTCTTATTTGATGCAATTACTTTTGCAATCTTTTTTCTCTCTCCAATTCGATTTCAATTCTTTTGTAAAAGAAGTACCAATATATATTTCATTATATGAAATGCCAATGTATGTAAAATCATTTTAAAAAAATGTTTGCATACCCTAATAATTATTTATGCAGACTAATTCGTATAGAGATGATATGATCTTTTTAGTTAATATTGTAAATAAATAAATAAATTATAGTATGGTATTAATTGATATAGAATCTTATTTCAATATATATATATATTATTTGTAAAGACTACTTCGTTAGTATATAATTTGATTCTCCAAAATGGTGTACATTATGATATAACGTTGACGTTCACTATATATTATATCGTTATAATGATCAATTATATATTTAAAATTATTTAAAATACTTTGTAGAATTGATATTTTGTACATGTCCCATATCGTTAGAATGATTTACACTATAATTTAATCAATTATGTATCATTTTTTTCTTAGCACAATACATTTGATTATCAACTCAAATATTGTTGTTTCAACTTTTAATTGGGAAGCAATAGATTATATTTGATCGTTGTGTCATATATCATTCCGTCAATCTTAAAATTCATATACATTCATGCAGCACAGTTTCATATATAGTTAGAAACATTCAAACATATATCAATATGTAAAATCATAATATAATCAATTATTTACAAAGAAAATAATTCAAAATTGCAATTTAATTAAGGTGTACATTGTGGTGACAATTTGGTGTACATTTTCAATCTGATATATAATGGATGACATACACCACCATTTACACCACTAACTAACAAAAAATTACCAAGTTATTTGTTATAATAAATTTAATTAAACAAGTTTTAGAAATTTACGCATTAATTATAGTGTACCCTAAACTCATCTACTAAAAAACAAAGAAGCTAAATATCTAAAATGTATTTACTACACAACCACATTCACCGATATATATATATATATATATATACACACTATAGAATGGTGTTTTCAATTTAATTCAGCACAAAAGATTGGTTTGTTTTTTAGATATATGTTATGACGCATTTATATTCAAATGTAATCATGTTGCTATACCAAAATGGCTTTAACTATTAAGATAGTATAACAATTTGATTGTTATTTTGGTATGAAATACACCAACATAACCTAATCAGTAATTTAAACAACATAATTATTTTAAACTTTTAATATAAAAAAATGCGGATTTCCCTATTGATTAACCTCTGAAGCGGATAAGATCCAAAGAAGTCTATACCTGCAGATGAAAGAGGAGCTTCTGCGTGAACATTTCTAACAGTGGTTTCTCCTCCAACAGTCAAGTAACTAGCACTGGTTATACCTTAATCCAACCAAAAATCACATACACTACAAAGTACCCAAGTTATTTAACAACGACGACATATACCACAAACACATACACTCAAAAAATTTGTTGTAGATAAATTATCTAAAATATATCAAATACACTAACACATCTACCAAAAAATAGAGAAGCTAAATATCTAAAATATATCCACCACACCATCACATACAACACTAATACGATCAGATTTCGAACACAATAGCATTGACAATGTAGACATTTAAAAGTTTTGTTTATGGAGAGTTTTTCTCTCTACAGTTTTTATGCTTTTTGTTATTTTTTAATTATGTAG